CCATGCAACTTTATAATGACAACTAGCGAAGGCAGTGTCATTCATGACTTGTTCAGATTTAGTACAATGTGTTGTACATATGCAGGTGCATTTCGGTCATGATCTGCTTTGAATGTATATGTCACTCAAATATGAACGGAACGGGGACGTGTCATTGACACTGACTTGTTCACTTATGTGAGTTTATGCAACTCTGTGCCAGCCTCTACCTTTGTGGCTGTCTATCTCACACATTCGATCAGGTCCAAAAAAAACTGTGAGCACTGTGATTGTGTAATGGTAACACAAGTAAGAGACTATGGTAGACTGTAATACGTCGTTTATTTCGGAAGCGAAGTCTGGCATCAAAGTGCAATTAGAACAATCCACCCTAAACGGTCTACTTTCTTGTGGGAAACTGTTTATTTCCGTTATGCGGTTGGAAGTGAACAGGTCTGGTTTTCCGCGGGAATTTATCCAGTGCAGAACTATCTGGGAGTCTGACCACAACACGCGACGAGTGACAATGCATTGGAGACAAATTTACTGAGTCGGGTTGTGGTCAAAGCAGCCATGAGTTCAAGACGAGGCAAAGTCAGCGTATTTTTATTGGTTGGTGCAACACGTGTCTTTGACATCACCAACGAAGTTTGGTTTCCTGACTTTATGTACACAGCACCACCATAGGCTTTGGTTGAAGCGTCTGAGAATGCGTGTATCTCGATGTTGTTGTTCTTGTTATCGGCATTGTCGGCAAAGTAACGTCGGTTAACGCAAATGTTTGTTACCTCTCGTAGATCGTAAGCTATGTTAGTCCAATTAGTTTTGAGTTCGTCAGATATGGGTGTATCCCAATGAAGATTCATTTTCCATAGCGACTGAATAAACAACTTCGCTCGAACATGCACCGGTGAAAGGCGATCTAGTGGGTCATAGAGACTGGCGGCGAGACTGACTACCAGTACTTCACGCTTTGTGGTCATGGCGTTGATATTTGGTGAGTTTAGTGGTTTCAGGTAGATGACGTCACTTTCAGTGTTCCACTTCACACCTAGCACGTTAACAGTAGTGTTAGGATTCGCTTTACCGTCTTGTTTAATGACATCACGGGTGGTTTGATCATTTGTACTCCATGATCGAAGATTAAATCCATGTGTAGACAATAATTTTGTTGAGTCTTCATAGAATTTTATAGCTCGTTAGTATCATGACTACTGGTTACTACGTCATCAACATAGATGTTCTGTTGTAGATTGTTGGCAGCAGGTATAATCGAATGATTGTTTATTAGAGTCTTGATAGCGGCGTTCAGAATAAATGGACTGCTCGTGGCTCCAAACAATACAGAAGTGTATTGGTATGTCGTGAATCCACTGGTTGGATCGTTTATGTCAGACAACCACAGGAATTTCGTATATTTACGGTCTTCGTCTGCGAGTAGTATTTGTAGTAAAGCTTTTTCGATATCGTTGCTAATGCGACTGGATTGGAGCGAAAACGAACTAACATTGCAGTTAGGTCGTTCAATAGTGGGGGTCCTGTTTCCAGACAGTCGTTTAAACTTGGTTGTCCTATTCTGGAAGTTGCACTGCAGTTGTACACGATGCGGATTGGAGTTGAGGAGCTATCGCATTTAACGATGAGAGAGATAGTGACCACTCGTAGTGTCATCTTGTTCTACTTGCTCGATAAAACCGGCTTTTAGTTGATCCGAGATGATTTTGTTGTAGACTTGAGTAATATCACGTGTCAGTTTCTTGATCATATGACGAGTCCGTTTGTGCGCAATGTCAAAATTTTTCGGCAGTGAGTCGTGGCTAGACTTCCATGGTAGTTTGGCGATGAAACGATTATTTTCTTTGGACAAACAATTTTCTGTATATTGTTTGAATTGTTCGTCGTGGGTTGTCTTCTTTTCCCGGGGGGGGGGGGGTTATTGGATCGCGAATACCGATCGATTCCAGTTCCCAAAACGAAGCGACGTTCTTGGGGAGCAGTTCATCATCGGACGGGATTGCGGTGAGATGAAATGCTTGTACGTGTTTCAAACGCGGCTTACTGGTGTAGTCTTATGGATCGGATATATTGACGCAGTCCGTGGGGTTGTGAGGTCCACAGCAGTACACGCAGGGTCCTGTGACGGTCTTTTTTGGTTTCCAGGGTTATAACTATTGGCAGAATCATGTCCGTTTGTCGATTTATAACCATGGGGTGTAGAATAATTATTTCTAGAAGTGGTAGATTCGCGGGCTGTAGTTCTTGTGTAGAACGTAGCGACGGTTGAATTTGGTTGGCTATCGAGATTTGTACCTTCACCGATTGATAAAACGCGTATTTCATTTGACATGAGTTCGCTCAGACGGGATAATGTCCATTCGTTTTCCAGTTGTTACGGGCAAGTTTACGTTGGAAATCAGTCGGTAATTTCTGTAATAGTAGAGGTATATATAACTTGCCATAATTAGTTTCGTCTTCACCAAGATTTTTCAAGCCCCGAATGAAGGTTTCCAACTCATCATGGAATCGTCTGAGACTAGTTGGGTTGTTCTCTGGCGGTACTTGTTTCCATAGAGCCGTCATGTAGGCGTTAATGGTGTCTTGCTAGTTCCCATACCCGTTTCTCAAGAAGTTCAATGGCAGTATCATAGTTTACGTCAATCGTGGCAAGTCCGTCAATGAGTCGCTTAGCTTTGCCTTCAAGAAAACTTAGGAGATACATGAATTTCTAGACATTAGACAATCGATTGTCTGAATGAATAGCAGCGTTGTACGTATCATAGAATTCAGTCCAGAGAATGGGATTTTCTTGAAATGTAAGAATCTCAAGTTTTGGTAGCTGAATAGACTTGAACCTTGGTGATTGTTGAACTTGTGTAGGCTGAGCTTGGTTAACGCAGGGAACTTCAGAAGTTTACAAGCTGCAACTACATCTCTTAAGAAGTATGAAACTTTGAGATGTCGTGTCGTTGCTTCGATCTCGTACAAATCTGTTTCATCGAATTCTGGGTGTTCGGGTGGGATCATGTTGAGATTGTCGGCGTCTACGGAGATTAAACGATGCAGACGTACTTTCGAGACATCGAATAATTGAGAAATGTTTTGCAATGCCAGCTTCTTGTCTTCATGTTTATCGTAGTCTGCAATGAATGTTTCGATCTGTTTCATTGTCGTGGTGAGTTGTCTTCTCGCCGTTGTTCTGTTCTTCTTTTGTTGCGTGAGGTCGACAGCGATGGAATCTTGATCTTCATTGTCAGACATGCTGTTCGTCGATGGGAAACTGTCTCGATTAGTGTGCGTTGCAAGTTGAGTAGTTTGGAGTTGTAGAGTATCCTGGTCTCGGCACCAAAATGTGGCTGTCTATTGCACACATTCGATCAGGTCCAAAAAAACTGAGCACTGTGATTGTGTAATGGTAACACAAGTAAGAGACTATGGTAGACTGTAATACGTTGTTTATTTCGGAAGGGAAGTCTGGCATCAAAGTGCAATTAGAACAATCCACCCTAAACATGCACTAAAACACTCTTTATATAGGGTTAATAGGATTACACCACGGATTTTAATATTGTAGGGAAACACTATGATTGGTGTGCCAAGAGAGAAGGTCACTATAGAATAAGCATTTCAGCTACAAAGTTGTGACTTCTCTTGCGTTCGCTGTGATAAAGGCATGTTTGTGAACATTACGTAAATGGCTTACAATAAATTGATTTGTGCTTCTTTGTCATAGGAATACATGTATTGTGAGGTGAAATGAAGCATGAAACGGCTTCTAACAGACATAACTCAGATAATAATGCTGGAATCGAATGAAACGAAAACGAACAAATACAGAAAATGATTGTTGATCGATACAAACTAAATACGAATGAAAAATAATAACTATAATTAAACAACAACAAATATAATTGAATCGTGAAACACACATGAATAAGCATCCAAGATAACCTTTGTGTCTGCTTGATTCCAATCAGCTTAACAACGTGCCCCTTTTTGTATTTCATTTAAGTTCTAAAGCATACAGTTGAGGACAGTGTTTGGAGATTAGCAGGCAATTTACAGTTCAGTATGATTAGGCCAAGTAATTGATTTTATTTATACTTTTGTACATCATGGTGATTTCTACATAGAGACTTATACCAACAAAATGATATCATTATCACTCAAATTTGAGATGACAAAACAATAACTCTAACTTTAAAAAAAACGCAAATCTGTCAGCACTCACACTTGCAATTTGCACATAAAAGAAAAGCAGTGAGCGAGACAAGAGTGACATTTATCTTTGAAACTGTCACCTGGCACGAAAAAACTGTACAGTTCCAGTAGTAGTAGTGATTAATAATTATTTTCATTTCCTAATAGATAACTTATAAATCAACTGAATCTGTATATTTAACTACCGTGGTAGAATCTAAGGATATACTCGTTGAGGGCAGTATTGATACACACACTTTAGAAGAATTACCAGCAGCAACACAGTTTGAAATATCAGTGAGTGCAAGTACATCAAAGGGATTTGGTGAACCTAAATCAATTA